TCATACCATTCTAAGTCACAAACGTAACTATCTTATTATATTCCTTCCTTAATAAGCTCTGGTTATACATTGTTCCCTTGCTCTAGGAAGCTAATCCCTTCCGAAGTGGCTTACATTGGTGAAGCCAGCCGGTATTGGGAAAGTATTCCTAACACAAACCAAGCACTTTCTGCTCGAAAGAAGCGTCAAACACGGAGGATTCAAAAGCAAGGTGCCTTAACAAAAGCACAAGGTATTAGTTTATGAGGATCAAGTTAATAGCCAAATTGAGCAAGAAATACAAGGCTGTTAGGAATACTTTCCCAGTACCGACTAGCTTCACTAATGTAAGCCACTTCGGAAGGGTTTAGCTTCCTAGAGCAAAGGAACAAGATATAACCAGAGCTTATTATGGAAGGAATATAATAAGATAGTTATGTTTATGATTTAGAATAGCATGAGCTTCAAGAGTATGAGAATGTATTCAAACTAACTACTAGATAAACTAGACAGTTGAATTACGGAGAGCTGTAGTGAAGGTAGGGACAGGACATTTTTATAGATATAAGAAACCTGGTGATCATTCTGATCATTCTGATCAGACTGATCACAGACTGCATTCTTGATTCGTCCATTTCCTTTGGGCGAATCGCAATCCTTCACTTATGCAAGTCGATCACCTTGATCAAAAATGATCAACATGATCGCTTCTTCACGTGATTCCTATGTTACCCTGTAACAAAGGCCTCAGGGTGGTGGTGCAGTGCGTCATCTATACCACTGCAGCAGATGTGGTGAGCCAGGTCATAGGATTAATCAGTGTTCCCAATAATAAAATGTATATATAGATTATTATTTTATTATCCTATAGCTAATTTAACATGGTGTTGTGAAGTTATTGCTTCAAATGGTGCATGATGGTGGGGCGAACCGGCCACTCGCTTATATGGGCCCCTCGCTTATAATGGACGTTACCCAAGTATCCTCTCCAGAACGTCTGTGGTGACGGCGCAGCGTAGCCGCTACGCCGCTTTTCCAGCCAGTACATCGCAGCGCAGATGAATAGAGCAATAGCCGCGATCCCAACGATTTCTACGCCGGCGATTGCGCCGCCGGAAACGCCGCGTCTAGCTTAGCTGGACGCGGACCTGCTTGCAGCCGAGCTGGCAAGGGTTGATAAAGTAGCGCTGGCGGAGCATTCGCTACTCAGACGCTCAGATTCGAACGAAGCGGAAACCGAGGACCACAAACTACACTGCCGCGGAGTCAGTCGATTGAAAGCGAACATAGAACACCGGAGCAGTGATGGAAAGCTGTCAGCTTGCAGTGACTGTTAGTAAATAAGACTGCGTTATCACGCACTGCGATGCCATTACATCGCCCTCCGTCACGTACTAGGACGAGGTCGAGAAATTCACTTCCGTCTCGGTCCAAACCGAAGAGGGTGTGATGACCTGGCCAGCAACCGACATCGTTACATAATGCTGCTCATATAGCAAAACGACACAGAATTCGGTCTGCATCGGGTTGCTTTCATCGCCTGTTCAACCAATGAGACTGTTGCCGTAAATGTAAGACCTTGTCCGAAAGCGAAGACAGTGTGAGAAGATTTACCTCGAGCAGCACCTGTGCTGTGTCTCTATAGTCTGATTACTGGTAGAGTTTACGTCCTCAATGATTACGCGATATCCCGATGGATAAGTGCCCGGCGAGAACCTCTCATATCTTGAGTATGGGTAGCATTGAGGAAGTTCAGTTAGTGCCACAGTCAATGTTTTCGTTGATTCGATCGCATACGCATTTGTCAAGCAGCTGGCCGGCGGAATAAAAATCGTGGTCAAAAGAAAACCACCCGTGCTGATAGGTGAAACAGAATGGGTATAGATAATTACCGCGCCGGTAACAATGTTTGCCGAAACCTTTGTCATGACCTTCATTGTGTTGGCCTCGGTAGATACTACCGTTGGTTTAGTTAGCACAAGTGCCGGGATTATCGTGGCATCTCTCCAAAACGGTTTAAGAAACACCACGATAGTGGCTTTGATTGTTTGTGTCGAAATCTCGCAGCTCGCAACTTTATCAATGCTGAGATTTGCTCCCTGCACAATGCTTATGCTACTTTTAGTGACTCGGCAAACCTGCAGAATCCTTCGTTCGTATTCATGCACTTTTTTCGCTTCTTTGCTGAAAGACAATAAAGGCTGATAGTAAGTGTTGACCTTCGCGAGGACGGGTTCAACCCCCTTGGACGGCGGTCAGGAAACCCTTCCCGCACTTATTTTGCGAACGAAACTGAGAGCGAACCATTTCTTGAGGGACGATGCAACTCGCTTCAATTGCCGTCGACCTAAGTTCAAATCCGGCGTCATTTCTGCGCAGCTAATGACAATCTCTGACGCCTTTCGACAAAGCAGCAGACCTAGGAAAGGGAGAGAAAAAGAGGGGGGAAGCAAGAAAAGAAAACACAAGCTATTGTGTGACGCTGGGAAAAAAGTCGATTTCTTGTCACTGGATCAACAAAAGGAAACAAGCTGTCTTGCATTCAAGAGTCATGGTCCCAGCCTGCTGATGGTACTTAGAGCGCTCCAGGCTTGAAGGGGTTCCATAATGTTACGCAGTAGAACTCTTTCCTCTTGATGGTCATCTCCTCGATATACATACATACTGGCACTGTCATCCATCCACAAGTTCCCCTCTCGTCGCTACCCCTTTGGCCATGACACGCTCTTGGACCCAAGATGGTCCCTTAAACTGATGTCACCCCGTTACAAGTCATAGGTATGATTGCTGCACTATCTAGATGTATACTGAAGGCAAGCAGTTGCATGGAAAGAGGAAGGGAAAGGCGAATATAATGAACTATGATTGCGGTGCTTGATGAGTGCGCTATGGATCATGTGATCCGTTGCTTCGCGTCGTTCATACTTGTTCGCAGTATTATTAGATCGACAATTGTTAACACGAAAACAGACCGCTTTATCATACAAAATCTCTAAATTCAGATCACGGAAGAGCTCCCCTTACAGGAGATATTTGAATTTTATCGTTTATTCAGATCATTTACCTCAAAATCTGTGTTTCTTGCATGTGGGTTTGATGTGCATGGCATCAGCTACCGCTTCCAAGACAAGACCAAAATCACAACCTTGTGAAGAAAATCTTATGTGTTCCATGCAGTCATTGCAGATAACCGTGTGCCTTAAGCCACTCTCTAACGAGAGCCTCGTCCCTCTCCTTGTAATTCGCCGCTCCGTGGATGGTATCCTTCACAACGCCAAGGCCACGATCGTACCCTCTCTGATCCTTGCCCTCAAAGAACTTTTCTATATCTTGTTCGACTGCAAAGCTCGAATGCTTATTCAAAGCTGACCGCAAAAAGCGTTCCAACACGACCATATTGCCACTCAAGCTGGCAAAGACCTTCTCCTCCCAATTGTTCTTGATGTACTCCCAAAGCGCGAGGCGGGTCTTTCCGTTTGCAGCAAGCGCAATTGCAGGTGAATGGCGATCCTGCACAGCAACTTTGTCCGAGAACGTGAAGTCGAGGTACTCTGTAGCAAGCTCTGACGTTTGAACACGACCGAGAGCTTGAAGTGCGATTTCTTTGCCGTCAACGGAAGTAGTGGTTAAGTAAAAGTTCTTCACCGCTTCATAGGCGTCTTTTCTACCGTGGGTAACGCAGATACGGAAAATGGGGGAGCGCAGGCTCGGGTGTATGGCAGCTTGATCGCCGGCATTAAAGGAATTAAAACGCTTGGTAGCTTCGGTAATTGTGGGCTGGTGACCAGACATTCCAGCTTGAGCGATGAGCAGAGCACGTAGCTGGCCCGTCAGTAGGTCTTCATTGGGGGCGAACTCCCAGCCGATCTTTTCTACAGCAGGCGTGAGAAGCTTAAGAGTAAAGATCCTGAGGCCATTCGAGATATCCTGCACATCGCTGAAGATCGAACGAATGTTACCGAGTGCGGTTATAATCTGCTGCCAGACACTACACTTTGTTAGAATGACCATCACTGCAACATGCCGAGTTGATACGCACAGATACTGTTTCTCATCTTGAAACTGTTCCACTAGGGCTAAAAATGCGGCAGTTGTTCCGTCTCCAGACTGAGCAAGAGCTGCAACATCGCCTATTAGACCGATGCGATCTTCTACTGATAGTGAGTGACGTTTTTCGCCGAGCCTGGTAAGATGAGCGGGAGGATAGTTCGTCCTATAGAATCCGGTTTGGTCTGCGTTTATTTTGTAGAATCCCTCGTCAATGTCTCGAACTGTAGTTTCCTTCTCTGTCAATGCGGTATGCAATATTTTTTTAGTTGATGCAGTAAACTTGATGCCTAGAGGGATCCACCAAATGGTCTCATCTTCCTCGGGTTTAATGTCGCCAGAAATCAGGAAGCGAGACTGTCTGACGCCGATCTGACCCAGTTCTTCTGCAAGGGTAACAACCGGAAATCCGATCTTTCGGATCCATGGATCCATGAAGGCGTCGACATCTTGACCAGATGCTTCACTGAGGGCCGACCATAAGTCACTAGTTCTAGCATTGGAAAACTGATGCCTTTTCAAATAGTTAGAAACACCTAGCAAGAAGGTTTCATTGCCGAGATGGGAGCTAAGCATGCGAATGACCGACGAGCCTTTAAGATAGCTAATATGATCAAATATTTGATCCACCTCAAGAGCATCCCGTACTGGTACTTCGATCGGATGTGAGTTGCGGATGGAGTCGAGACCAAACGCTGTTTGCAGAGATTCAGACTAGCTTCTCAGTCAGTTCATCTGCGGACTACCTTTTTGCATGGAGCGTACGACAAACTGTGACCAAACTGCCCATTCTGTGAAGTGTTAGCAAAATTATGCCAGTGGTTTTATGTGATTCATGCACCTGGGTGGAGATGATCAATGGCCAGCCAGCCGACCCACGTAGCGAATCCCTCATTGAGCCACAGCTCATTCCACCAATCCATTGTCACCAAGTTACCAAACCACTGGTGGGCCAATTCATGAGCGACGACATAGGCAACCCTGTTCTTATAGCGCTGATCGGACTGCTTCTCATCAAATAGGACAGCAGTAGTACGATAGGTTACGAGACCCCAGTTCTCCATGGCGCCATGCGAGAACTCATGAACAGCCAGTAAATCTGACTTTGGCAAAGGATAATCTATGCGAAAGATTTCAGAAAAGTAGTCGATGATTTTAGGAGCGTGCTCTAAAGCATATCGGCCTTGTTCCTCAAGACCACGCGTTGTGTAGACGCGCACCGGTAGGTTTTTGCCGTTGTACTTGCGCTTCGTGAAGTCTTCGACATACTCAAAGTCGCCAACAGCCCACGCAAGCAGATACGTGCTCATAATTGGGGTCGTGTCGAACGAGACAATCTTCAAGCCATTCTTGCTTCCTTTCTTGGTCTCCTTCACGGGCATATTGCTCAGCGCTACCTGGTCATCCGGAATCTCGATTTCAAAGTCGAAGGTGGCCTTCAAGTTTGGCTCGTCGAAGCACGGAAATGCTCGGCGGGCGTCACAAGACTCAAATTGCGTGCTTAACATATAATGGTACTCTTCATCACGAGGTACTGACTTAGCAGCCGCGACAGCAGGCTTGTACTTGGATCGGTAGAACCCAGCCATGAGCTTATATTATTAGCGCTTGATCGACCTAATTGTGCCATGCAAACATACATTGTTAATGATTCCCTGAAAAGTGATGTCCAGCCAGGCTTTTTGTGCAGTTGGAAATTCATCGTCGAACGACAAGGTGGCTCGCTGTCTTTGCACGTCATAAGAAACGCTAGAAGCTTTAGCAGATGTCTCGGACTTCGTATGTTCAGTTGACAGCTCGGCACTGTGAATTTTTAGCTGGTTTGTGTTGAGCACAATCTCCCTTGCACGCCTCTTGATCTCAAGCGCAATTTTGACGCGACCTTGGTAGCTCCAATTTCCTAGAAATTCAAGACTATGAATGGAAAGACTATAGTGGACCGGTTTGACGCTACATGGAATCTCAACAGTTAGCACACGAATTTTTTCCCGGCCGGTAGCTAGAGAGTCCGCTTACGTGTCTGGTAAGATATCACGGTCGGAGGCCATCCTGCAAGCATGCAAGTCGTAGCTACAAGGTCGTACCTGCTCACTGAATTGATTCGCACGTGCGAAAGGAACTTGTGGAGTTGCAGTTGTTGAATGCGGCGTGAGATGAAACTTGGTGTAAGATGCACGAAACTTGCAGGCGAGATGGAGCTGAACATTCGTGTTGCTGCTTCCCTCCAAATCGCTGCGGCGACTCTTCTCCACATCATGTACTGTCGAATCCCACGCCGCTAGATGATAGACAGGCAATACGCCGGCGAAGAACCCGATCGGAGTACTGCCCTCTTCTTCATCTGTTGATGCTTGTGATGGATCTTCTCATATAACGCGCTTTGCATCGGATCGGAGTTCGGAGCAAGGGTTAGGAGTCACTTCGGCCGACGCTCTGATTTGCAAAACCTGATTATACCTCTCCACACAAATTTGAACGCATTTCGAATTATACACAGTGTTCGAGACTGGAGACGCTGACGAAAACTCACGACACGTCTTAGTTCTGCAGGAAGAATTTCTACATTTCACTGCTGCCTCCGATAGAGACGCACAGCGTCAATTTTCAATGGTGTGCGACAACGTATTGCGACATCAGGGATTCCCAGTATTATGAGACGAGAATTACGAGCTTCTCCATATCGCCCACCCGTAAGACTAAGCAGCAAATGAAATAAATTTCATGAACGTATCTTACTAGTTATCCGCTCGTGGAAGACGGTCAAGATTTTAAGGATCACTCTTTTGTTGAAGTGGGATGAGGTAGAAAGGCGAGATATTGCGCTCGAGGGTAACACGAAGATAGCACTTAGTACTTTTGATCCGATGAAGTTCTTTATCCAGAATTTTCTGGGTGCAACAGTATCTAGCGCATCTGCTCAGACAAGCCTTCACAGGCGGAATTCTCGCATAAAATCAACCTAAATTTTTGGAGGTAAAGAAACTAACACGAGCAGCTGAGGATATAGCAAGTGCATTCGATCACATCCGCGATGCGCTAACAGACAGCTGAACTAAACGCTCTGTCACTCATATGAATAGACAGAGCTTACGCATTAGGAAGACCGACTACAGATCTTCGGTTCCTAATCAATCAACGTAGCATGCAAGTCCCAAACATATAACTGCCATGTCGTCGAGATCGTGTGCGAAGAAACTTCTAGAATAGCTGTCAATTGCATAACCAAATATTAACGAGCCCCTATCTTTAGTCATATTCCAGACTGGGATAGACGCGGTGAAAAGATCGTTTAAAAACGTACTTTTAAAAGCTACCGAACACATGAGGGAAAAAGTGCGTTATGTCTTAAGATGCTGCAACCTGCTCCAGCGATTCGCCAGAATGACGCCATGTCACGCTGTCAACGATTTGCTCAAGATGAAGCGGTATGAAGTACACTGCTAGTCGCTCCCGTGGTAAACTTTTCCCGATATGATGTTCTTATCCAAGGACAAAATGTTCCGCTGGTCCTCTACAGCTTGATGACCAGGTCTAAGCATTGAATTCGCCATTCTTTCCTTAAGATGCTCTTCAACCATTCTAAGAACGTGCTATGGAGTAGCGAAGCCTCAGCCGAATCCCGTGAACCGACCGCACTTCTCGTCGCATTCACCATATTCGAAATTGTGTTGTTCGTGATGGCACCGACGGTAGATACACCGGAGACCATGTAGTCTGACAGCATGCCCGATGCATGCGATATCACATCCGAAACATGCTGGCTGGGATAATTCGGCTCAAACCAATTTGAGTTAAAGTCGAACAGAGAGATGACGAGGATACCGAGTAGGAGCGAGCAGTAAACGCACGGTCGATTTAGGAAATAGGTAGCGGAGATAAAGAGGACTAGATAAATAGGAGAAGCATTCGTTCTGCGTTATCGTCAGATATCGCAGACTATATAGAGAGGACGCGCAAAAATCATACAGGAAAAAAAGAATAGGTATCCAGCTTCGCAGGCAGAACATGGCTGTGGCGACTTGAAACAGCCGCTGCGGGGGAACAGCTTGACTTTAACGCAATATATACAAGAAAATCGTGCTCGGTGAGTAGGCGCAAGTAAAGGACAGAAGCAACGAATGGAACGTAACTTAGCAAGGAGGAGTTTCAATGATTGGGATGCAGAGGATGAAAGTTTGTGGCGTGCGATCGACGTTCGCAGGAAGCCTAGACAGGTGACTGCTAACAAGCTGTTAGCGATGACGACTGTGGATCATTGAACGGCGCGCTCCACAAAACGAACCTAGGACTAGAACTTCTGCCAGCAAGTAGCATCACACAATATATGTTCTCGAACAACACTCAGTACTTAATTCTATTCGCATTGCAACCATCATCGCCCATGCAATAAAACATAGAGTCGACAATAGCTCTAGCGGATACCTGGCGGGCACCTCGTCCTTTCGTTGAGATTGGCCCAGGGGCTGTTTGGCGTCTGACATCAGGCAGAAGCGACTGGCCATTTTCAGTTGATGCAAACACCTTCAAAGTTCAATTGGACTGGCTACTTAAATGAGGGAGAAGGTACATTAAACGAACAAACACCTCCTAACAGCCATTCAACGAGGGGTAAGATGGCGCAAGGTGATACGGAAGTAAGGACAAGGACAAATGGCTTTGGCTATGCATTTATGGCCTGCAACTATCAAAAAATAAATAAATAAATAAAAAGAAAAATAGAATAGAAATAGAAATAAAAAAAAATAAAAGTTAAAAACTTAGTGGCCGACAGCTAGACTTAATACGCTCGGCTGGTCTAGTTACAAGAGAAATGTTATAAGGTAACATTGAAGTCACGTGGGTGATCAGTCTGCTCATTCATGAGCAGTATGAGCAGGTACATGATAAGGAAACGCGCCATGAACCCGCGTACAAGAAAGCCCATGTTGACAATGCCATCGCCCAGAGCGAGAACGTACACATAGCTAAGATCAGAACCATGTCAGCCAATCAGCTCAAGAGTGGAGACCTTAGCATCAAGACAACCGCCAACAGCGAGATGCAGACGCTCCGTCAGTTCACAGATGACTACGTACCACGTCTTGGAAACGGAACGTCAGTACGTACTTACACATACGGAGTTCTTGTTCATGGCATTCGCACAAGCACGATCAATATGGAGAACTTCGACGAAGTCAGAGATACCATCCTACACGAAAACAGAGCCTTCCTTCCGGCTGCGGATATCAAATACATAGGCTGGCTGACCAGGCAGCCACCACAGAAGGCAATGTCATCAATAGTCATCGAGTTCACGAAGCCAGAAGACGCCAACAGGATCATCGACGAGAATTTGGTCTGGCAGGGCGAGATGTGCCCGGCCGAGAGATACGAGAGGCAGTGCCGACTGAAACAGTGCCGACTGAAGCAGTGTTTCCAGTGCCAAAAGTATGGCCATATAGGAACCCAATGCAAGGCAGCGAAAACATGTGGCTACTGCGCGCAGGAACACAGTTCCTGGGAATGCCCGACGAAGACAAATCGAGAAGCCGCTAGGAAGTGTGTCGTATGCCTCGGCACACATGAGGCCTGAAGTCGGGAATGTCCAACCAGGAAGGAGGAGGTAGCCAAGATTAAGGCGATCCTCGCAACCCGTCCCAAATACCACCTGACTTTAACGGCACATAATGAGATCGACCAGCGTGGACTGGACCGAATATCCCTTAGGAGATCAAGATCTATGAGAGACTTGACACTACACGAAGAATCAAGAACAAGTCGGCCCAGCTCTGCGCAAGGACGAGGACAGAAGAGGTCAGCACCAGTAGGGGACAAGGAGAACGAGCCTCCAAGCGCTAGCCAACGGCCGCAGAGAGCGGTGATACCTTCTAGAAGGGCGCTTGAGGCACAGGCAGCTAACGCACTTAGATAAGAAAACTCACAGATGGACATCGATACTGACGCAGACCTATGATAGAACAACCGCAACTAAATATACTACAGTATAACGTACGCAAGGCGAAAGACACCGTCATGGCAACACTGCTACGAGATCCGAGAGTGATGGAGTATGACGTACTTGCTATTCAGGAACCGTGGAAGAATCCCTTCATGTCAACAACACACCATCCCGTCAAGGACATCTTCCACCTCTGCTATCCAGAAATCAACAAAGAGGATGGCCCGGCAAGAGTATGATTCTTTATTAATAAAAGGCTCGACTATAGCGCGTGGAAGTTCGAACAACACACAAAGGACCCGTGCACGCTGAAGATTTGTATAGGCGGCGCAGATGCGTCAAGCAACGAGCTGGCCATACACAACGTGTACAACGCACCACAGAACACGGAGGGACGGGAAAGCACCATCCCATCACTGAAAGCACAGCTGGAGAAACACGCACCTGAAGAACAAATCACACTCGGCGACTTTAATCTACATCATCGCCATTGGGGCGGCTCGCGGGTCCGACGGGAGGAAAAAGAGGCGACGGATCTCCTCGAGATGATGGAGAACCTCGACATGACCAGCATGCTGAAACCAGGCACAATCACTTACGAAGGAGATGGTAGATCGACTATAGACCTCTGCTGGACAACGCTAGGCATGGTGGACAGGATTATTAAGAGCACAGTAGATCGAGACATGGACCACGACTCTGATCATTTGCCTATCAGTATCCTACTAGATGTCCGAACGATCCTGGTGGGAACCAAGCCGAAGCGGCGATGGAAGAACCTGGACACCGAGAAATTCTGCGAGGCGCTTAGATGCCCCCTGCCACCAAGAAGGAGGCCGAGGACAAAAGCCGCACTCGATAGGTACACTTGGGAGCTCGTAGATGCGATCACGCAAGCCGCCGATGAAATACTGCCGCCAGAGCAGCCCAGTCCTAAGGCGAGAGAAGGCTGGAATAGCACATGCACTGAAGTATTAGCGGAGATGAAGCATCTACGCCGCGTGTACACAAGAAGACCGACAACGACGGCATGGGAGCTATACTGCGAGGCACGGAACCGCAAGACGCGCGTTATAAGAAAGGCTCGGAGGCAAGCACACAGAGACCGAGTAGAGCTGGCCGCAGAGTCACCCGAGTCGCTCTGGAGGATCGCCAAGTGGGCTCGCAACAGAGGGAATCAACCACCGAGCGTAACGCCAGCAATCAGATGCCCCGCCACCGGCGAGAAGGCTGTGCGACCTGAGGAGAAGGCGAGCCTGCTCCGAAACACCTTCTTCCCGAAACCGCCTGACGCCGATCTAAGCGATATGGAGAACGCGCAGTACCAAGACCAGATCCCAATGCCAGACATCACGGAGAAGGAAGTGTTGGAAGCCATCCAGACTACAGCACCACTCAAGGCGCCAGGACCGGACGGCATACCGAACAAAGTCCTACAAGCTGCATCATCCATACGAAGTGGGACACTTGGTCATAATCATGAACCGGAGCCTTCTGATCGGATATTGCCCTGCGCACTTTCGCAACTCCACCACAGTAGTACTGCGCAAGCAGGGTAAAGACGATTACACCACGCCGAAGGCATACCGCCCCATAGCACTACTGAATACTATCGGCAAGGTGATGGACGTAATCATTGCACGCAGGCTGAGCTATCTGGTGGAGAAATTCCATGTTATCCCTAAGCTGCACATGGGAGGCAGGAGGCTGCGGTCCGTGGAACATGCGCTACACACCGTCGTCGAGAGGGTGTATAAGGCATGGAACAAAGGTCAAGGCCAGGTGCTCAGCCTCTTACTGCTCGACGTGTCCGGTGCCTTCGACAATGTCTCGCACAAGAGACTACTGCACAACCTGCGGAAACGGAGGGTTGACGAAAGGACCGTTAGATGGATAGCGAGCTTCCTAAGCGGCAGACGAACGAAGATCATAGTTGACGGGCACGAGTCCGAGGACTACAATATCGAGACTGGCGTTCCGCAGGGCTCCCCTTTGTCCCCAATTCTCTTCATCCTGTACAACGCTGATCTGATAGAATGCTGTAACTCTGAGGAGACAGAAGCCACGGGATACATCGACAATGGGGCAATCTTTGCTTGTGGAGACACTACGGAAGATACATGCTCCAAACTCGAACGTGCGCTCGTAAAAGCCGGTAGGTGGGCCGAGACACACGCCTCTAAGTTCGCTCCGGAGAAGTTCCAGCTGGTCCACTTTACATGAGCGCGCACGCGCATTGAGGTGAATCGACCGCTGGATACAGCCTGGGGACAAATTAAGCCGAAGGCAATGTGCAAGTACCTGGGAGTTACGTTAGATAGCAAGCTGAGGTGAAGGAACACGTCGAGGAGATACGCAGAAAGACCACGAACACAGTAAATGCCCTGAGCTGCCTGGCGAGTTCGACATGGGGCATCCGCCTACCTAAGATGAGGAAGATCTACCGAGGCGTCGCAGTTCCACAAATGATGTACGCGTGCTCACTCTGGTCCAATCCAGGAGGAAAGAAGGGAACATACACAGACAAGACTCTCAACACGCTCAAGACAATCCAAGCTCGAGCAGCTTGAGCAATCAGCGGAGCATTTAAGGTGACATCCCGTCCAGCACTGGATATCGAGACGCACTTCCTCCCGGTCAAACATCAGATATGGAAATATAACGCGGAAGCCGTAGGCCGGATGCTCACGAGCGACGGCCTCCCAGAGCTGTCAGGACCTGCAGACTCTAGCCAAACCGGTCCATCAAAGAGAAAGACGTACACGTCGTCACTATCTTCGATCATACACCAGCTCACGGCAGATGGCGCGGTCAGTCTCTCGAACAGAGAGAAGATCACGCCTTTCGTCGCGCCACCCTGGTGGCAGGGAGCAGCCATACACATAGCTCCGAATGACGATGAAGCCCGATCCCAGCACGACAAGATCACTGCGAATAAGGACAATGTCTGCATTTATATGGACGGAAGTTGTATACAGGGCCACACAGGAGCAGCTGCAGTGTGGCCAGCTAAACAGCGGACAGAGAGCGCATACATAGGTCCGGACATAACATCCACTGTATACGCAGCGGAGCTGCAAGGCATCTGCTTGGCCCTGGCAACGGTGCAGACGAATGTCCAACAAGGGAACGGGCATAAGCATCTCCATGTATTTGCTGACAACTAAGCAGCCGTCCGCTCTGTGGTCAAACCCGAGGGTCGCTCCGGGGCGTACATCGTCAGACAGATAGTGCAAAGAATCGACGCGCTTAAGACAGCAGGTCTCTCTGTGAACATTCATTGGATCTGCGCACATGAAGGGATCGATGGCAATAAACAAGCGGACCTGGCTGCCAAGGAGGCCTCGGGATGGAGGACGGGAGATACCAGAGGCCCAACAGCGGACCCGCCAGCACAGCTGCATTCATTACGGATAACGCTCAAGACATGGAGCCGTAAGACAGCCAACCTGCGCTGGCAGGCAAGCTGGACTGCCGAGAGCAAGGGCAAGGCTGTTCGCAGATATACGCCTGTGCCAACCAAGAAGGTCCTTCAGCTCCATGTCGAGCTGAGCAAAGCGGAGAGCGCCTTACTCGTGCAAATGAGGACCGAGAAGATCGGACTCAAGGACTTCCTCTTCAATCATCGCGTTCCAGGATTCCACAACGCGAGATGCCACTGTGGAGAGAGACGACAAACGTTGGCCCACGTCCTGCTTAGCTGCCGCCACTACAAGGACCTCCGGAGACAGGAGTTCGGACTCCTCCCAGGACGGACTAACCTCAGAGCGATTCTGAGTACGCGCAAGCTAGCCACAAAGGCCATCAGATTTATGGAACAGACACGGGTGTCCGTGGGTGAGGAGACCAACAACGCGCAGACGACGTCGAGCATTGGGGGGAGACTGTAGGTATGCAGACCGCGAAACACGAGGCGCAGCCTCTAGGAGCCTAAGTATCACGGTAATATTAGTAGAACAACGATTGTCAACAGGGCTGGCAAGCTTTTGAAGACAATTCTTGATGGATAAGGGGTGGATGGAAGGGACAGCTGGTTTTGTTTACTTTGAACAAAGCGAAGTGTGACTGTCAGTCTAAGCACATACCGAACATCACGTGACATAAGCAAATGCTGGCTAGATAAGAGAGGAGAGCCAGGGGTAGGGGACAGGAGAAGAACGAGACAATCCATCAGTCAAGACAGCATACAATGAACTAAGCAGGTTTACGATCTTACTTATGCACCATTCATCGTTCCCGTGATCTTCCGCACAGACATTGACAGTGTCGGCCGTCTGGCGAAGTCTACCTGACCGGGCGAGCGCATCAAAAAAGCACAACAACAGCGAGAACTCTCACTCTTGGAATAAAGAGCTCAATTGTGTTCACATACACCCCCTGAAGACCGGAAACTGCTTTATCGGAAGCCGCACCGCCCAACGCGGTCGTAAGACATGGCGACGCCCTGGTCCCAGGAGGTAACCGGGCCCACCAACCTTCGAGAGCATGTCCTAGAAATCACGAAGCAGCTCAGCGATACATTGCACGTCGTAGAAAGAGATAAAGAGATCGATAGAAAGCAACTAAGCAAAGCTCTCAAGAGCGCGCTACTTGCGCTCGCCAAAATCAAGGACACCCCTGACGTAGCCACCCTAGAAGAGAAGGTAGATCGACTGCGCACAGAGACAGTGAACGGATGGAAAAGCATTGATGAAGCCTTCCGACACATCCGGGAACACATAGAGGCAACAAAGGCAAATACATAAGCAGCAGCAACAGCGGGTAAAGAGGCGAAGACAGCGGCGATTGAGGCAGTAGACATAGGCAGGACGGTAATCAGAAGCAAAGGGACACAGCAGCAGCAGGCTATGGCAAGCTATGCCGCTGTGGCAGCGCAAGGAGCAATGGCAACAAGTATACACAGCCCACAAAACACAAGACCACCTGCTCAAACGCATCGTGAGATCATCGTGAATATTAGAAATGCACAAACGATCCTCCACCTGCGGGCCATGAACCCACGCAACCTGAAAGCCCACGTCGAGCAAGCTATAGCCCAGGGCGGAGTAACTAACGCAAAGGTCATGTCTGTCAACCAACTCATGAGCGGAGATATCAGTATAAAAACGGTCACGCCGAGCGAAACACAAACGCTCAGACAGTCCGCCCAGGAATGGGTCCCTAGGATAGGGAACGGAATGTCAATACGCCGCCAGACGTACGGTGTGCTCGTGCACAGCGTATATACTAAAGATGTAGATATGGACAGACTGGACGAGATCAATGCTGCTATCTTGAGTGAGAACAAGCCTTTCATCCCAACAGCAGAAATCAAATACATCGGATGGCTCAGTCGGAAGGCACAGACCAAGAGGATGTCCACGCTGGTAATCGAGTTTACTAAGCCGGAGGATGCGAATAAGATCATTGATGAGGGGTTAACATGGCAGGGGTGCCACCATGACACCGAGAGATACGAACGACAATGCCGCCTGAAGCAATGCTTCAACTGCCAGAAATACGGCCACATAGGAACCCAATGCAAAGCCAGAACAGCATGCGGCCACTGCGCGCAAGAACACAACTCCCGGGACTGCCCTTCGAAAGCCGACACACCCAAGAAGTGCGCGGGTTGCAACGGCCCGCATGAGTCCTGGAACCGCCATTGCAAGATCAGGAAGGAACAGCTTACCAGGACCAAGGCGGCGTACGACAACCGACCCAAGTACCACCCGGTACTGGGGACCCCGAAGCCGGTAGCCCAGGTTGGAAACCCCACAACCGGAATGAAGAGACAACGGTCAACGAGGGACCTGACCGCCTCCCAAGCAGGCCGGGCTTCGAAGCAGACCAATACAGGGCGGGCCAGCGGCGAGGGGAACAAGGAGAACGAATCGCCGGCAAACAGCCAGAGGCCGCAACGCGTGATACAACTATCACGTAAGGCACTGGAGGCGCGAGACACTAATGCAACCACCAATATAGAAATAGAAGAGGACATGGATATGACCCCCATATAATGGTGGAGCACGTCCAATTAAGCATACTACAGTATAATGTTCGAAAATCAAAGGACACAGTAATGGCCACGCTGATGCGAGACGCCAGGACGGCGGAGTACGACATCGTGGCCATCCAAGAACCATGGAAGAACCCATACATGGACACCACACACCATCCGGCCAAAGAGACCTTCCACCTCTGCTACCCACCTGAACGGGAAGGCAAGACGGCAAGGGTCTGCTTCTTTGTGAATAAGAGGCTAGACCAGACCAAATGGCAATTTAAAGCGCACACTAGGGACGTATGCACCCTATACATTAGGCGGAGCGAAGAGAGTGGGGAGGGAAGCCAGATCATCATCCATAATGTGTATAACCCCCCACAATGCTCGGAAGGACGCGAGAGCGCGCTTCCAAAGGTGCAGGAAGTCTGCCAAGAGAACAGTGCGGAAGAGCAGATAGCGCTAGGCGACTTCAACCTCCATCACCCAGTATGGGGCGGAGAGAGGGTAGACAAACAGGAGGAGGAAGCAGAGGAGCTACTGGACGTTATGCAGAACATAGGTATGATGAGCACACTCCGCCAAGGGGCGATCACATACGAAGAGGGAGAAAAGAGGTCGACGATCGACCTCTGCTGGATGTCCGCAGGAATAGCAGATCGGATAATCCGGTGCGAAGTAGACAGAGACATGGAGCACGACTCTGATCACCTACCGATCAGCATAGTCATGGACCTGAGAGTACAGCACGGAGAGAGGAAACCCGTGAGGCGATGGAAACATCTCGAGGAAAAGAGGTTCCGGAAGGCGCTCGTACAGATACTACCTCAGGTACAGCGGCCGAGAACCAAGAGGGCACTGGATCGATACACCAAGGAGATTGCAAGCGCGATCGACGAGGCGGCAAACGAAGTCCTCCCTAAAACACACCCCTTACCAAGGGCAAAAGAGGGATGGAACACGGAATGCAAACGAGTACTGACCGAAGTAAAACGACTTAAGCGGTTCCACAGCATGGACCGCACAGCGGAGTCGTGGGAAAAGTACAAAGCTGTACGGAACCTGAAGACCAAGACGGTCAAGAAAGCTCTAAAGGCAGCACACAGAGACAGGGTGGAGATGGCCGCGGCCAACCCCGAGTCTCTTTGGAAGGTAGCAAAGTGGGCGAGGACGAGGGAGAACCAACCTCTGAGCGTCACACCAGCGATTCGATGTCCTAACACAGGACGGGA